AATGCTTTATTATTTTATTAATTATTTTAGTTTAGATTTTTCTTAATACACAAGATTTTTCAGTAAAATGTCGTTATTTATTTATGGCAAAGACTGGATGGCAATAGTTGGTATTTTGAAGAATTTTGTGGCAATTATTGGTTTTTTTGGTTTTTATATGGTTTTTTGCTTCATCTTTCTTATAGTAGCAATGACTGGTCATTTACCTTACTGACGTTCTGAGGGATAATACGACAGAGCAGAAGGCTGTACATATAGCGCTAACACAGAGAAAGGATTATAACAACATAGACTCTGCTTGGAACAATATAAAATTAACTTTGACAAGCGTATCAGATAAAACACTAGGGCACACACGTTCGATGACAATTGTCCAATTTAATATGACGAAGTTTATATTCATCAGAGATACTAGCATAACCTGTTGATTAAACGCCAATATGATCGTAATTTCTATATATCTTCTTGCAGTTTAATCGAGACAAATTTATTTGCAGCTTAATTTGTTTCCCTCTCTAAATAAAACTCCAATGTTTTATTGCTTTGATGCTAAATATTGATCGGGATTTTATGACTGATAGGTTTCGTTAAGTGATGAATGTCTGGCGCCAATCTTTGGTGAGAAATTTTAATAGACTTTATATTTAATACATTTTATCCAAACAACATAATTTTACTTGTTTAAAATAAATCGCATAGTGAATGGAGCATATACTGTATTTATATAAAACACCTACAATTTTATCCATCATATACGCGGCAATATTTATAATTGAGAAAATGTAATTTCAAAACAATATTTGTTTTATTAATCAAGTTCTGAATTTACAAAAACCATATTGGTCCACAGCAGTGATAGAAAACCAAATACAAGAAAAAGAAAAGGCTTACTAGAGGTGGCTAACCACAGGGATCAAGAAGACAGAGAAAATAAAAAAAGTGAGCAGAAGAAAAAAACAATTTTAGCAAAACAAAATGTACAGTTAATGTCGATTTTTTAAGGGGAAGCTCAAAAGCAAAGAAGGCATGGAAAATGTTAAGGAACTTCAGACAGAATACCCATGAAAGGGCAAACATAGAATAAATACAAATGGATGAATATTTAACAAATGGTTATTTGATGAAAATATACTGAAGGAACGGAAAATGAGCTACTTACGCTCCTTACATAAAAAGGGAAACAAAAAACCCCAATAATTATAGGGGAATATGTGTCGCACCTTCTGTGGGTATCATGTAAAAATCATTAAAGAAAAGATAGAACAAAAGCTGCAGACTTCAGAAGAATAGAGTGGTTTTCGTACCAGACAGTAAAGTTCTTCTTCTTCTTATTTTTATATAAACATGACTCTTGTCTATTTTTCAATGTGCCTCCAGTAAGTTGTCATTCCATTGTTTTCATGGTCTTCCTACTGATCGTCTTCCTATTGGAGAACAGTCTCTTGCCGTTTTTACTACTTTATTTATTGCCATTCGGCTTATCTGTTCGCTCCATTCTACTTTTTTATGTCTTAACCCTTTGTGTACTGCCGGGCTAAGCGTAAGACACATTTTAAACAATTTTTATGCTGTAACTTGGTGTTTTTGCGCTTAGACACAGTCAATATGTGGATTGTCGAGATCTCCTCCAACGCCTCACACATCAAATTTTGTTTCGCTGAGCGTTAGTGATATTTTTATAGTGGTATACTTAAACAATGGTGGTATTTTTACAGTGGCTTAGCATGTAGTTGATGGTGCTGTAATATTTATGAGTTTTTCAAGATTTTTAATAAACTGGCTGATAACTTTTACTAAAAATATATTGTATAGGTAACCTATATTTATCTTTATTTGTGTGGTAATGTTCATTGATGAATTTAGTACATTTTAAACCTTGTAATTATAGTGGTGGCAGTGCTGGGACACAAGTCAAATGTTCCAGGCAAAAATAAACATTCCTATGCCGATTTGGAACATATGTCTTAAAAGGAACTCTTTATTATTATTGAAGACATTCCATCTGATGTAGATTCAAATATTGATGACAGCTCCGATGACGACGAGGAAACAGATTTAACAATAAATATGAATCAAAGTATTTTTGATATAGTCTGCCGATTATCTTTGAAGACGCCGTTTCAGTGGAAAACCAACTTGAGGACGTCTTAGAGACAAATCAAATTGAAGTAGATGAGAGTGACGATGATGATACTCAGTTGGATATACGTAGAAGGAAATATTTTCTTTCAAATACAATTTGGACCAGAGACTCAAAAAATTGAATTCCCTATAAAAAAATTAATAAACCAGTCGGCCCCAATATACAAGACAATATTGATTGTCTACAGATGTATTTCTTCAACTCTTTACAAAGGATCTTATTGATAATATTGTCTTTCAAACCAATATATATGCAGTCCAAAATATCGACGGTGACGAGAATAGATTTACTTACACAAACTAATGTGAATAAAGGGACTTCATAGTCTTAGAGACTATTTGTCCAGTTTTTATGAAATGGAAAGACTGAAAGGATATTTTGTTTAATCCCAAACATATTATAACAGTGTCTAGGAAGAGAAGATGTTACTATGGAGGACATTGTTTGTCCAATATTAGTCAAGGACTATAATGCTAACATGGGTTTTGTTGACAAAATGGATATGCTAAAGTCAATTTATGAAGTTGACAGAAAATCGAAGAAATGTTGGCACCATATATTTTGGTATTTTTTTGGACTTGTCGCTAGTAAACGCCTTTATTATTTTCAAAAGTAGATCCAATGAACAATCCCTTTCGTTGAAGATATAGCAGTGATAAACGGACTTATTGGCGCCCAAACTGACGTACCAAGAAGAGGAAGCAAAAGAGCTAATGACACTGAAGTAAACCACTTCAAGAGCATGGTACCCTTAGAAGTCCAATTTGATAAATGTGCACATATGCCAATTCACACAAAACCAAGGAGATGTGCCCTTTGCAGCACTCGAAAATAACCACACATGTCTTTGTGGAGCTGTTTAACATGTAATGTAGGACTGTGCCTTAACGGAAAAAAAAATGTTTCTCTTTATACCATTCAAAATAAAGTTCTACTTTGAAAATATTTTATTAACTGATGCCTAGTGTCCTAATACTTATGACACTGTCTATAGCCTTTGTTAGCTGATAAAAAAATAAAAAATACAATACATTGTTATTAAAAAAGACCAATAACTCCAAAAGTACATAATTTAAGTATAGCATATAATTTTTTTTATTTATTTTGTTTTTTTAAGGAATCAAATTTACTATGTGAATGATGAAAGTAAACATATAAGGTATTAAGTTAACATAAGTAGTATATTAGCAAGTATAGCCCCAGTTGAGCCTTGACCTAGGTACGAAAGCAAATACTGACTGGAGGATTCAAACAGGTCACTTTATATTAGTTTGTGTGTTATTTTCAATGTGTTACAAAATGGGTTAGAAAGTATAAAAAAAAACATACAATACTCATCCCAATAGAAAAAATACTAAAAAGTTACATAGTTTAAAAAAAGTTATATACCTACTTGTTGTTTAAAAAAAAATTGAATTAGTAGTTATAATTATAAAACTATTTTTCCATTTCCCGAGTGTAAATTTTTTCCTGTTTCCTTATTACATTGGTATTGCAATTTTTTTTAAACAGTAGGTAAATCAAATACAAAAACATATCAAATCAATGGCCAAGTCAGTAGGTATACCAAATCCTGTGAAAATAAGGTTTTTTTTTTGTTTAAACATAGTGTCAGTATTAATAGACACAATTAAAGATTCCTGTGTTAATCAATCTCAAAAGATTTGATGGAATTTATAAATGTTTATGTTATTGTAAATAGAAAACCTATGTTCAGATTTAATGTACTTCCTGTATGTAGATATAAATATTTATTCAAATAAACCATAGAACTTAAAATATCTGGTTTGTATGAATCGTTTAAATTACCTAATTTTTAATTTTTACTTTGAAATAATATGTAGGCATAGATATATGGATCCAAAAACTAAAACAAATGAAACTGAAAGATGTATTTTATTACTTACCTTAGGAAAAGTGAGAATATTCTGGTGAATTGTTTTTACTTTTCTGAACTGTGCTCCTTACTTATTGTAGAAATACATAAAAGTCTAACACCGATTCAAAAATACAGATATTTTTCAAAATTTCGTTAAATCCGTCGGCACATCACTTGAGAAAATCGTATCACATCTGACATTTACCACTACCAGGGTCAACCTATAAAATAAAATCAAAATAACAAAATTAAATTAAGCAGTTCTGCCAATATTACGTTCCCAACAAATACAAACGGTTTGCTAACAAAAAAACGATAATATTTTTTTCTAACGTTGGCTACAGATAATCACTATTGACATAAACGTCAAAACTTGACATATTTACCTTCATTATTTTTGTGCAAATGTATAAAAAATATTAATTTTTGGACTAAAATATCATGGAAGAATGTATAAAATTACAGAATTTATTGTGTATCTCTATATAATATGTGCTGCCAATGGTAAGACTACAAAACTGGCTATTAACTTTCATATGTTTCATTTCATTTTTAAAATTAAATTTAGAAATTTGTATAAATAGATTTTATGACTTTATTGTAAAAGTTTCTTATTTTATGAATAAATCGTTGGCTTATACTTTAATAAATTTTATCATAGTGTCGGTTATTAATTTTCATTTCGTTATAGTATTTATTTTTGTTTATTGAGTTATTCTGTTTTTTCCTTTGTGTTTTTATGTATTTTGTTTGCTCCCAATTAAAAAGTTTATTGTCATGTTTAATTTTATCTTCAGAGTTATTGGTTGTTACCTACTTATTCACATATTTTTTAATATTGATTAAGGCCAAAAGTATTGAGATGCATAAACACATACTAAAACAAACTCCACAAAGAAAGAGGAAAACAATAGTGTGAGAACCACAAGTAAGCCAATAGTGACACTGAAACAAAGCCAAATAAAAAATTCAGTACATTGTTGGAGACAGTGGAAATGGAAATCTACAAACAAGTAGTACACATAATAAGAATAAATCAAAAAAGAATAAAGAAGATGAGACACTGTTTTGAAGTTTTGAACATGTTTCTATTTTGTATTGTAGTGCCTGTGGAGTTGAAATATTAGAGTACATAATAGTTTTGACTTATTTGTGAATTTGAATAATTTTATATTTTTTTTATAGCATTCAGATATATTTTTTGTTTGTAGGTGAGATAGTAAGAGAAATTTCTGTAAATATTGGTAAAAACATTACAATACCATGTCTTCTTCACCAGACCAGAGATGTTATGTGGGTGAGAGAAGGCAGAGAAGATCAGCAGCATGCCAGGATGTCTGTGCTGGAAAATGGAGCTTTGTTTATCTCTCAAGTTGATAGAAATGACACTGGTGTATATGCTTGCAGCAGAGAAAATGTTGTCAACTCAGATGTTACAGCAAAAGTAAAACTGACAGTAAGAAGTAAGTTTGATTTACAATTGTTTTATTTGTCTGACTTAAACTATGATTTATTCTTCATTGTCTTTTAATTTTCAGCTCCTCCACCTGCATTGGCCAATGTAGTTGTAAGACCTAGTACTATTCTAGCTCTTCTGTTATGGGAAGTTGATGGTACTGGTGGATATCCTATTATAAATTTTACAGCGCAATATCGACTAGGTTTTACCAATAATAGTTGGATACCAATCCCGCCTAATAATATTCCACAAAATTCCGTAAGTTAACACCACTTTTTAACAGCTTAAGTCCTTAAAAGCGAATGGCAATAACAATAGAAAATTATTATCGTTTTTCTTTATTTGCAATAACAGTATTATGGTTATTCCAAATTGTCAAACAGAAATCATATTCTCTTCTAGGCATGCCCTATCATTGTTGTTGTCATAAAATATGTTCTCTGTCTATTTCATCTGAAATATAGCATTTAGTTCCATGTCTAATATGTGGACATCTTCAACTTCTGTGGCTATATGGAGTAGATAGCAGATTTATGGGGTTAAAAACTTAAACAATTTTAATATATTTGATTACTGTATTTAATTATTTATAAGCTATGGTTTTTAGAGACAAATTGATGTGTATAATCTTAGTCCCAATACAACATACCAATTCAGAATTTGGGCGACAAATCAATTAGGAAGAGGTGTCATAACTGAAGTGTATGGTACTACACTATGTGTATATACAGAACAAGGTAAATTATATTAAAACACAAATATAAGTATCAGGTAAAGTAATGAGCTTTCTTTTTAGTTTATGTTATATATAGAAACAATAAAAATAAGGCATTTTTAATTGTGGTTATATTCCAATTATATATAGTATCTAATAAGTTTTGTCTGTTATTATATCTTAATCTTATATATTTTAATTATTAGAAGACACTCTTTGTAGCAGTGATATAAACAATTATAGTGTCTTTTGTTAAAAGAATTGAAAATTTATGTATTGTAGATCATAGATTGTTCTTTCTATATCAGTGACCTCTCCACACTGAGAATGGAAATATGGTTTGTATGTTCCCTACATCTATATTTGTGACTTTATGATAGATAATAGGGCCTACTTGAGCCTCTTGTTGTCACGTTTTTACTGTAACAACCAATTGGACTTTTTCAATCCTCGCTACGAGGATGGTCTGATAAGTTCTTGGCCTACAAGAGAAAACAAAAATGTTAGAACATGGTGATTTATTTTTCAACATAGCCTCCTTTTAGCTTGACCCAGCGATGCTCCAACGATAGATCTGCACAGATTCTTATCTTCATTTGACTAAATTTGTACCTGACGACTGTTTTTTTTAAGTTTGGAAACAAAAGGAAGTCACATAGTTGATGTAAATCACTCCTTGTAATTTTCCGAAGATGGTGGCCATCATCTTTCTGGCAATGGTTTTTAATTTCTGGTTAATAAGCCAGTTTTCACCTTACACCTTAAATGTTATATTAATTAAACAAATACATACTTTTTGTATAACGATGCGCACTTTAAAGTCTGAGTGTAAGGATAATAAAGGAGTGAAAGACTTTCTTTGTAAAGTATTATTGTTCAATATCATCATGAATTAAACTGATAAAATATGTGGAGAAATATCATTAGAGAAAGAAACTTATCGACAATTACATATTTCTATATTCTACTACCATTTTAAATATTTTGTCATGGTGCTTTATGATCTAACAGAGTTAGATCTCCAAGGGCTTTAACGAGCCTCTAATGGTATTCTCCTGAAGTCTCTTTTTATCTTCAAGTATTGACGCTTTGGTTTTCTTGGGATTTGCTATGGTCCATGTCCAGCAGCAATTTTTGCCTTATCTTCCTTTGTTGTGCTCTAGATTGGGGTTTTTGAGACTTTCTCATTTATTTTTTAAATTTAAGAATCCGAAATTATACTTTATAATTTCGAATTTTCAAATTGTAAATAATTAATTCTTTGGTGTAGGTACCAAAAAGCAATTATAACGTACTAACAAGTTCAAGAATTGTTTTTTGATCGAAACACCTTAGAATGTTTTGGGCTTTCTCTCCCAGTGATTGATGTTTAATCAATTTTACTTATAGTTTATAAGAAGAGAGCTTTATTTATATTATTTGTAGATTTGGACATATTTAAATTAAAAATTTGAATCACAATATTTTTTCTAAAAAGATTCAATTATTTTCTTAAAAAAAAAAATATGGAATAGTATTTGGTTCCTAATTTTATAAAATGCAAAAATTTAATGCTAAGCATTCCACAACCACATGGCATCTAAATATCTAAAGTTGCACTTGTTCCACTCTTTCATATTTTAGAAGCAGTGATAGCGTTGACATGACCGCTCCCTAGTGGTAAAATAAGGAACTAAAATCTTATTTAACTTCTCTATGTGTATAACTTCTGTCGAAATTAAAAAAATGGCAGTGAAAGATACTTCTATATGCTCGATATTCTTTGATAATAAGTTACTTTTTATCATTGTGGGGGGGAAGTGAAGCAGATTTAAAATTTAGAATAAAATGTATGGTTATCTGTTTAAAAAGATCTACAATGTTTCTAGATAACTTGTTTTTTTAATATTTTACTACAACACATCTACTGAGCTTCCTCATACTTCCTCAATAGTATCACTAAGTATATAAAAGTATATAAAAAACTATTTTTCGATAATAATAATAATTTTTTAGAGCTTGCCAGATATTTCCTAGACAACGCCGATAAGTTTGATACAACAGTTTGGGCTATCGCAGTAGGAATTGTAATGGGTACCTTGGTTTTGCTTGGATTAGGTACTTGTTTTCTTCTTTATCAAGAATGTAAAGTCCCTGGAGGTAAGTAAAATAATTTTTGAATTTGTAAGTTAATAATATAATGAAATATTAACGAATAGATTACTGAATTAACCACATTGATACAAAAAGGAGAGAACCATGAAGCTACTAACGAGAGACTATAGAAATTTCCAAAAAAAAAAAAAGATATAATACTGTTATCCACCAGAAATGTGACGAAATAGAAGAAGCTCAAAGAATGTACGTGAAGGCGAAGTAAACATGGTTATCAATAAACCCAACAAGGTAGTAGGCCCAGATATGATATGAGCAGACATGCTCAAAGCTACAGATGAACTCGTAATTACATTGCATTGCTTTCTCTTTGATCCAATATAGCATTCTAGATAAAGCCCCACTGAATATTAATCCGAGGATAATTTCATTAGACTTTCACTCTTTCACCTCTTCATTTCATTTCACCTCTCAGAATTTCATTTCAAATATGGCTATTTACCCACAAGATCGAGGCTAAATAAGTTAACTGTCAAAGTTAATTGGTTTTGTCGATTTATAAAAATTTACAGATTAAATGCTATAATGCTATAAAGGGTCTTAACAATAACAAAAGACCAGGCAAGGATAACGTATACGGGGAAGTATTAAAAATACTGTTCGAAACAAACTGTCAATTTCTAGACTCACTCGTCAGACTCTTTAACAATATTTATAGCAGCGGGGAGTTTCCTGAAGACTGGTTAGAGTCAACTTTTGTTGCCATACCGAAAAAACCAAAAGCAAAGTCTTGTGATCAACATTGGATGATAAGTCTAATTAACCACATTTCGAAGGCATACACCAAGGTTATTTACAACAGAATAAGCAAAAAATGCGAGGATAACATTAGAGACTCGCAGTTTGGGTTTCGGAATTCTCTTGGGACAAGAGAAGCACTTTTTAGTCTGCAGGTACTCATTCAGCGCTGCAGAGATATGAACAAAGACATGTACATATGCTTTATAGACTACGCAAAAGCATTCGATAACGTAAAGCACGAAAAGATAATTGAAGTTCTCCATAAGATCGGAGTCGACTACAGAGACATTCGAACAATAGCGAGTCTCTATTGGAGTCAAACAGCTAAAGTGAAAGTAGGATCTACATTTACCAATAAAATTGAGATCAAGAAAGGGGTACGACAGGGCTGTATCTTGTCTCCTATTCTCTTTAATGTATACTCAGAAGAAGTATTTAAGACAATGCTGGAGGAAAGCACAGAAGGCATAAAGATAAATGGAGAAATAATTAATAACATAAGGTATGCTGATGACACTGTGATTCTATCAAGTAGCATGGAGGAACTGAGTTGCCTAATGAGTAAGATACAAAAAACAAGTGCACAATATGGACTCAGACTAAATATTTACAAAAACCAAATGGATGTTAGTAAGCAAAACCCAACAACCACCACAGCAACTGATATTAGACAATGAAAGAATTGAACACGTGGATTCGTACATCTACTTGGAAACAACAGTTAACTCAAATTGGGATCAAGCGAAGGAAATACGTATAAGAGTAGAAAAGGCAAGAGCATCGTTCACTAGCATGAAACAAATTTTCACCTCTAAAAGCCTCACCCTACCTCTCAAAATTCGACTTCTGAAATGTTATGTATTCCCGGTTTTGTTATATGGAATGGAGGCGTGGACAATGCCGCAACATTAATGAAAAAAGTAGAGGCCTTCGAAATGTGGGCTTACCGACGTATATTACGTATATCCTGGACTGAGCACGTGATCAACGAAGAGGTACTATGCCGGGTATGTAAAGAGAGAGAGAGGTAGGAATAAGTATAAAGAAAAGAAAGTTGGAATACTTGGATCACGTTATGAGACATAATAGACAAAATAGACAGTAGAAGGGATCCAGGGAGGAAAAGACACTCGTGGCTCCAAAACTTGCAGCAATGGTTCGGATTGTCACCTGCTGAACTATTCAGATCTGCCGTAAACAAAGTCAGAATAGCCATGTTGATTGCCAACGTTCGGAACGGACAAGGCACATGAAGAAGACAGATTAAATCTAATAATTTTTAAAAAATTTTGAAAACTATGTTCGGATTGAAAATAAAAACGGTAAAGCAAATATGGAAGGTAATTCGCATTACAATCAATGGTGTTTTAATCCTATATAAGATAATATTTAACTTATACAATAAAGACAAGATACAAAAAGCAATCATCAATGATAGACTGAAAACTTTCTTGCAAAGAGAAGAGCAATCACATCTCAAATTACATGTTTTTGTGTTTCTAATTTCTAACTCTGGATCTTCTTCATCATCTCCTATTTTAAGATAGGATAGGTCTTTGACATTTCATATTGAGGTCCCATTTTTCACACCAACTCTTTCTTTAGTTTTCTAAACATGTAGTCCATGTCTTCCTCATCATTTGCTATGACTACCTGATCATCTGCGAAAAATAAAGTTGTTAGACATTTACCACCACCTATGTCTATTCCCATTCCGGATACTTGTTTCCTCCACTGCTCTAGCAATTATTGAATATATATTTTAAATAAGGTCTGGAGGTCTTATAAACAACTTTACTGTTAGCAACAAATACACAAGGCACTGAGGATGATCTGTTCAGATTGAAAACGTTCTGCCAGAATTTAAATGTTGACGACACTTTTATAAAGTTTTAAATATTTGTTTGTTTTTATACCACAATACACATGTGTGAAGTGTTTTAATTTCTGTGTTTTTTTAAACGATGGTATACAGCCAATTACGGGGTTTTTTCCCATTAATTTTATTTAAGTATTTCTTTTTTTAATTTGATTATTTATGAATAGTTATAGAGGAACAGGAGATCATCGAGCTGGTTCCGAATATAATCCTGAATCCGGGATTCGATCCAAATAACGTTTCCGATCAACTTCCAGATGAAAATTCGAACAGTGAAACGCCTTTACGATTAAACAATAATACAGTCGTACAACCTAATCATTGTTAATTTTAAGAACTGATAAGGCCAGTCGTTTGCTGTAACAAATATCCTTTATGTTCTACAATATTTTGTAAGATAAAAGATGTTCCAGATATACAGCTTCCTTTATTGTTGATACTTAATTTGTTATAGCAATTTAATGTTTTGCTTAGTAGCAAATATTTAAACATGTCGTTTATTTATTTATTTATTTATTATAAGGTAAGACTGTGGGTATATTTTTTAAGTAAAATTGGATTGTTTATTTACAATCTACTGTAAAGTTGGCATGGCAAAATCGCCTGTAAAGTAAGAGTGATGTTACATAATGTTATTTTCAATGTTAAGTAGTAAAAGGAGAAAGAAGCATCTTTTACTGATCGAACCCCCAGTTTATTTTGATCTCTAATTCTAATCTGTTCAACTATTAAAGTGTATTCCTTGCTTAATCAGACAATACACAAACAGTTACAAAATCAGACAATACATAAACACTTACGATATAAATAGTTACAAAGATTTATATCAAGTTAATAAAGAAGAAAAAACTTACATTGTCCTATCTGTTTACAAACTCACAAGTGGGAGATGCTACAAAAAACTGTTACTGGGCCATAAGTTACTGGGCTATAAACTGTGGTAGAAATAAATCATTACAATTTAATTAAAACATTCTGTTTAGATAAATTATTCATAAAGAGGTTAACCTTAAAAAAAACAAATCAAAATAATATCACAAAAATAATAAAGCTAGCTGCCAACATAAAATCTTAAATCTGAACAAATAAATTGACAGCTAAGACCACGCCCTAAGATTTACAATATTAAATATTACATTATTTTTAAATTGTATGAAAGCAATTATTATTTTCAACTGTTTATTTTTACTTCAAGAGTTCAAACAAAAAAGTTACCAAGATTTCACTGTACACACTCTAAGATTTCTGCCACACGATCAAAAAACTACATCTCACAGGAAAGGTACTCTGACTATTTGAGGTTGAAATTGGGACATTTTGGAACGGCTTCTTAAGGAACTGTATATTTATTTGGAACGCCGTTTTTTATATATCTCACGATGAGAGACAATCTCTTACCACTAAAAAAACAGTGATTACCCCTTTCAGAGGCGACACATTACTATGGGTGTACATCACTTATTCTTCGACAAATTTGTCGGTTTTTCGCAAAAACTACCTAACGACTTCTGTCTCCTTTGACCAAATCTTTCAACCTGGCCTCGATTTCCCTCGGCCGGTCTTTCTGTATCTCGGTCGGCTACCAATGCCACCCTTTTCAAATCTAACCTGTTCTCATAACATATCGTAAAACGTCCTTGAATCAAACTACTTTTAAATTTGTAGAAATAACACTACAAATCTTGGGATTTGGGGTGTTTTCTTTACATCACAATATAACCAGAATCGACGAAATATTATACTTGACCAGGAACGTATTAGGAGATTGTTATTCCTTAAATAATAAATAGTTTAAGTAATTTTAACATTCTACAAAGTTTCCTTACAAAAAAGGAATTGTAAGGTTGGTATAGAACATAATTGGTACCGCAATTATGTTGCCCTTATTCAGTAATACCAGATCATATTTTTTATTACTTTAAGTAAGATCTTAATATTTATAACTATCCACAGTCTTTACCTAACGTTTATAATGACTTAATATTATTGTTTTCTCAAATAAATTGAATTTTTTATAAATATCCATTAAAACTGCCTAACGACTGGCCTGAAAACAAAAATGGAGCAAATATGTTTTATAGACTGATACATCGTTTAACGATTAAGGATTTTGATATATATAATTTGGAGACAACGTATTGTTTTTGTACATAATATATTCACACCCATGAAAAAGCGCCCGAAATGCATGTACAGTGCGACATAATAGTTCCGACAGCGTAAAGTTTGTTTAGCAGAAAATGGTTGACTTCAATTAGTGCGGTTGTAAATATTATTAAATTTATCTGACTTTTGCCATTGTTAAGACCTTGTACCTCAGGTAAACCATTGTTACCTGAAACCGGGCCTTTTATACTATTATCGG